AAGAAGAGAAGAAGAGAAGCAGAGAAGCAGAGAAGCAGAGAAGCAGAGAAGCAGAGAAGCAGAGAAGCAGAGAAGCAGAGAAGCAGAGAAGCAGAGAAGCAGAGAAAGAGAAGCAGAGAAGGAGGGGACAGAGACTAAGACAGACAGAGAGACAGACATAAAATTGAAAGAAGAAGCCTCCGAGAAAGGAAAGAGACAGGGAAAGGGAAAGAGAAGAGTAGGGGAGCGGAGTGGAAAGGAGAGGGAGAGGAGAGGATCAGAGAGAATAAAACAGGAAATGAATGGAAGTTCAATGATATCATCGATCAGGCTTTCTCCCAGCAGCAGCGGACAAGCACTACAGGTAGCGCTGGAGAATCTTCTGCCTCCTCCTATGACTTGCCTTTCACCTTCTCAGCGAGTCGCTGAGTTCACTCAACTTCAGCATGACCTCGTAGCTCGTGTTACTCGAAGTACTTCTGCTGCTTCAGGGTAAGCCTCGATGGCCCCGAACCCCCTCCTCCCCCCCATAATCCCGCTTCCTCACTTGCTCTTCCTTTGATCGTTGCGATAGACTTGAGACCTACAAGTCCTCGGCGTCAAGGAATGCCAACGTGGGGAGAGGTGAAGTTGACTCGACGCTCTACGTTCCTCGATCACCGCAGGTCGAGAGCGAGAGCAAGAAGAAGAGGGAGAGCAGGAGGAAGAAGGGGAGGAACAATTAGTGGGGGGAGGGGAGGGGAGGGGGGAAGACGGGCGGGAAGGAGGGGGTAGGGAGGAGGATGGCTTGACAACTGTGGCAGAGAGCTATTCGTGCCATTGAGGACAACATTTCTCTGCGCAAGTCGTTGGAGAGTGCGAGGGAGAGGATCAAGCAGCTGGAGACAGAGCTCAAAGTTTCCAGTCGCGAGGAGCGAGGGGACGAGGCGGACGAGGCGGACGAGGAGGAGCTGAGAAGAGACATCCACCGATCAGTCCAGCTGGAGGCTGAGCTGGAAGATGTCTACCTTCGGCTGAGGAGAGCTCGAGATGCGTTGGTGGCTGTCGTGTCAGGAGGAGGAGGCGGGGGGGAGGCGGAGGAGAGCTGGAGGCAGCTGCTGCTCTCCCTTGACCTCTTAGACCTGCTGCCTCACCGCCCTGTCAGCCTCTTCCCAGCTCCTGTCAGCGCCTCCGGCGATCAGCTGGAGGCGAGCTGGAAGGGCGAAGGAGGGGTGAAGAAGGAAAAAAGTGGAGAAGGAGGAGAGAAGGAGTACGTCAGGTACCTGATCCAGCACTTCGGTCGACCTCTCCCTGCTCCTCGAGCAGAGAAAGGAAAATTGCTTCCTCGCTCCTCCTCTTCTGCTTCTCTGACCCGACTTGAGTCTCGATGCTCCGAGGAGAAGAGCAGGAGGGGGCGCGAGGAGAAGAGCAGGAGGGGCTTCCAGTCGCGCCTCTTCTTCCTCTTGCTCCGCCTGTCACGTTCAGGCAGGTCGGAGGTGCCGCGGGAGGAGGCGATTGAGTGCTCGCAACAAGCTCGCGCATGCATGCTGCCCCTCACCAGCCACGAGCGAGAAAGCAGAGGGGCACTGACATCGACAATGCTGCGAGAGGAGGAGGCGAGGCGAGAGGAGGAGGCGAGGCAGCAGGAGGAGGCGAGGCAGCAGGAGGAGGCGAGACGAGAGGAGGAGGCGAGGCGAGACGAGGAGGCGAGGCGAGACGAGGAGGCGAGGCGAGACGAGGAGGCGAGGCGAGACGAGGAGGCGAGGCGAGACGAGGAGGCGAGGCGAGACGAGGAGGCGAGACGAGAGGAGGAGGCGAGGCGAGACGAGGAGGCGAGGCGAGACGAGGAGGCGAGGCGAGACGAGGAGGCGAGGCAGCAGGAGGAGGCGAGGCAGCAGGAGGAGGCGAGACGAGAGGAGGAGGCGAGGCGAGACGAGGAGGCGAGGCGAGAGGAGGAGGCGAGGCGAGAGGAGGAGGCGAGGCGAGAGGAGGAGGCGAGGCGAGAGGAGGCGGCGAGGCGAGAGGAGGAGGCGAGGCAGCA